GCCGTGGGTGTAGTGCCTGGAGACGCCGGGGTGGCTGAGCCTCGCTGGCCCCGGGCAGGGAGAAGTCCGGGCAAGCAGAGACAGGGGGGGTGACATGCCTGCGGGGAGGGGTGTCACATCGAGGTGGAGGGGTACAGCAGCTGTTGGGGGGTATCGCAGGTGGGCAGAGCCTGTATGGAGGGCTGAAACATCTGTATGGTGGGGTCTCACATCTGTACGGTTGGGGCTGATGTCCGTATGGAGTGGTCTCACATCTGTACAGAGTGATCTTGCGTCTGTGTGGGGGTCTCACATCTCCCCAGTGAGGTCTTTTATCTGTAGAGGAGCTCTCACATCTGTACGGAGGGCTACCACGTTGACAAGGAGGTTTATCACATCCTTGCGGAGGGGTTAAACATCTGCAGAGAGCAGTGGCACATCTGTTTGGGGAATGTCCCATCTACCCAGGGGCTCGCCCCCTCCGTCTGGGGGATGTCCCATCCATCTGGGCAGGTGTCCCACCGGTGCTCACCCTCTCTTCCCCGTGTAGGACTGCCAGGAGCTCACCGATGTGGAGCGGGCCATCGAAACCGTCATCAACCAGTTCCACTGCTACGCGGTGAAGGGGCAGAAGGAATATCTGACGCCCAACGAGATGCAGGAGCTGGTGGTGCAGAAGCTGCCCCACCTGGGGAAGGTGAGGGCAGAGCCCGGGGGTGGTCAGGGGGGTGCTGGGGTGGGTGCAGGCTGCCTGCGGGACCCCGCACCCCATCGCCCTGATACTTTTTTCCGTCCCCGCTGCAGTGTGTTGGACCGCTGGACGAGAAGATCGAATGTATGGGAGACCCTGATGAGGCCAAATTGGAGTTCGGAGAGTACTGGGACATGATGGGGGACGCGGCCAAGGGCTGCCGGAGGAAGTAGAAGGCGACGGGGGACGGGAAAGCGCCCGAGGCCTCAGGCTCTGCACCGAGAAGCGCGAGAGGCTGCTGGTCCCGGTGGGATGCGCCTGGGAAAACGCAGCGTTACTCCCGCCGGGGCTCATCTCCTCCCTGCGTCCCTGGCCGGGGTGGAGGGATCCCCCTCCCCAGCTCCATCCCTGCCCTCTCTCGGCTTTCCTTCCTGTCAGGAAACCTCCCTTCCCATCCCCAGCTCTGGCCCGTGTTGCGGCGGGAGGGAGGTGGCAAGGGGGTTCCTGGCCCTGGCTCTAGAGCCGCCTTTCTCCGTCCTTTGCTCCAGAGCCTTCATCCCCCGGGGTTGTCCCACCTCCGGTCCCGAAAACCCTCCGGTTGCAGGTCCTCCAGCCCCGGAGCATCACAGCGAGAGGGACTTGGTTCCTTTCTCCCAAAAACCCTTGGACGTGCAGGCTCCTACCCCTGGGCCCCTCACGTGCCACCG